ACTCAGCCCGAGCAGGGACTTTGGGGCTGAGAGTCAGAGAGGGAAGACAAGGACATTCTCCTCTTTCTTCCCCTTCTTTAGTACTTCTCTGATCTTGTGCTAGACAGAGGATGAGAGGGGAAAAAAAAGCCAAGTTTTCTACAACATGAGCTACTGCTAGTGTGAAAAATCTCACACCGGGTGGATCATAATCCCACTGGTTTTTATCCACCTACAGCGGGACGGGGCAGCCCCGGGAAAGAGAACAAGCAATGATGGCAATTGCTGCAGAAAGGCTTGGGAACCCCTTTAAACCTAAAGATAAACCTCAAGAATGGGAGAGGAAAGGAAAGGAAAGGAAAGGAAAGGAAAGGAAAGGAAAGGAAAGGAAAGAGGAAAGGAAAGGAAAGGAAAGGAAAGGAAAGGAAAGGAAAGGAAAGGAAAGGAAAGGAAAGAAAAGAAAAGGAAAGGAAAGGAAAGGAAAGGAAAGGAAAGGAAAGGAAAGGAAAGGAAAGGAAAGGAAAGGAAAGGAAAGGAAAGGAAAGGAAAGGAAAGGTGATCAAAACACATGCAGCATGTAGGTGAAAAGAAAAGAAACTTCTATGCAAAAGGAAGAGCTGGTGGCAGAAGACATCAGAGCTGCAAAGGGCTTTTAAACCTCTTTTATCTTACCACTGTGTTCTGTGCTTCCTCTGTGCCTCTTCCTTTTCAAGCTCTGCCCATCACCAAAAGGCTATCACAGCTTCTCGATTTATTTATTCACAGCACAAAATTACACTCTGGTCTGCCAGATCTAGTTGTGTCAGATATGTTCCTAACAGCTTGGCCATGGCAGGGGTGACCTGAACTGCTTGGAAAATGTTAATTGAAAATGAGAGGTTTAAATCAGCACAAAGTAGCAATTGTCAGGAATGGTTCTTTTAAAAAACCAAGCAACTCAGGAGGACCCATTGTGCCAAGCACAGCTGTACAGTGTTGCTACACCCTGTCAGTATTACTTAATGAAACAAAAGGAGAAATGAAAATGTAGAAAGTCAAAAAAACCTGCCCCTGAGACAAAGCTGGAAGGCATGACCGAGCTTTCAGATTGCAAAGCAGTTATGGTTTCTGCTAGTCAGTGCAATAATCACTGTGTGAGTCCCTGGCACTAAGGAATTTCTCTGCCTGTGACACAGAGCTATTGCCTGGATTTATATTCGCAGAGATTATTAAACTCTTTCTGTCTTTCCTAATGTCTCTTTTCCTGCTAATTCTGCTTTATCAGGCAATATGGTGGCACTTCTGAAACTGGCACACCAACCTAGAGAGACTGGGAGAGCATCCACCAGTTTAACAGACTTGGACTGTTAGTCTGGCACAATTTTTAATAATGCAGACAAAGCTGGCTCCACCAGGGATGTGGAAGACTGAAATCTCTAAATAAAAGGTGGCTGGATATTCAGTGTAGGAAAGGTCTCTTGTGGCTTTAAAATATGAAGCTGAGACTTCATTTACAGTTAATAAGAGTGTGCATTTAGCACCTCCTCCCTTTCCTCCTGCTCCCATTCATTTCCATACCTATTTTATGGCATAATTCAATGAATTTTGCTAATGTGTTAATTGTATCAGTCTCTCTGATAACATTCCTGGCTCAAATCACAGTGTATTTCCAGAGAAAAAGGAAAAGATTGAGGAGAGACAACATTTAGGTCTCTTTAGTACCAATCAGCTCAACTTCAGAGGTGGACAAAAAGCAGGTTGCTCCATCTGATGACTGTTGATGCATGTCAAAATTCTTGCATGTATGAATGTACTAAGAGAATATCAAGAGAAAAGCACAGCATCTACAAGTGCTTGACTTTGACATGTGTAATTTTGCAACCTTAATATTGCTTCAACAATGATTAGGACATGTATTAAACCAATGCTTATTAAACTAGAATTTTGACATTACCTGTGCTTTTCAGTATTCACATCAAACTGTTTCATTGGCATGATATCAAAGCAATTACGCAAAAAGGATTCTTTTATGAAGAGATTTTATGTCTATGCCTGTGCATGCACAAATTCATGCAAATCAAAGAATAACCTATGAATTTATTTAACTGTTTGCATTTGTATATGTAATCACATATGCTTTCCCATACTTTATATATTTAGCTTTAAGGTCGCCAATGATTTAAAAATATGACTGTTTTACAAAGTGAATGTAAGCATAACTCCACAGATCAATGTGGAGCATGAACTGTGGATGACCATGGGAAATAAAACCCCTCTCCCTGGACCTTGCAGGCACTTTAATAGTCTCCTCATTAACTTAATAAAGCAAAACGAATGGTAGGATGGAGTGGAGACAGAAAACACTGCTGATTCTGCAGGAACAGATTAGAACAATGTTGTCTGAAAACTCTTTGCAGTGGTATCATTCCTACATAGTCTTTGGTTTTTCCTATTTGAGTGTAGCATAGAAATGCATGTATGTCTACCCAAAGCAGCTGGGGAACATACTAACTGTAGCAACACGGAGCTCAGCACAGCTCCAAAACCTATCACAGAGCAAGAAAGGTTACTTATGAGGAACTCTACCATGGTCACTTGCTGATTTTTAGCCTCTATACATACATGTCTAGCACACTTTGCAATGCCTTGTGGATGCTCTGCGTGATCACTTGAGCAAGAAAAGTAGAACATTTTCTCCAAAACTTCCCAGGCTGATATTTACTTGAGCTTTGATATCGAAATTTCTTTGCTTCTGACTGGACTGTGGCGCAGGCCAGCAGACCTAACTGTCTGTGGTTGTTTAAAAATACCACTAGATTCCTATAAAACAGTTCATTAAATTTATTTTGGCGTTGAAGGATAGTTTTAAGTAATGTGAATTAATGTGTCAAAAACCATATTCATATAAATAAGAATCTGAATTAAAGACCTTCCACATATCTCAGACATAGTGACAGTAACACTTTGCTAATAAGTTTTACAGATTCTGGAAGTGATAAAGCACATTGAAGCAGCATAGAAACTTTAACGTTTTAACAGTCTGGTATGTCTTTGTTTAGTATATGTGACAGTACAACTAACTTCAAAGTGGTCACATCATTCTCTTCATGTACGACACCCATCTCAACATATGTAAAACTACGGACTAGTGAAGATGTTTCATTTTGGTGTTCAGTTGCACAATTTTCCTGATTGAATATCAATTATAAAGAAACAGGGATACATTTTAATATTTGGAATTTTGGTCTTCCATCTTACTTCAGTGAGCAGTATTTTACGTCTTGCCTGCATATAGGCATAGTATATACATATATATACACATTAATCTACACACATTTATAGCAGAGTGTTGTTGTCTAAATGTTCAAAGGGCGGGATTCAACATGTGACTTTTGACACCTGAAAGTTAGATATCCAAGCACAACTTGGGCAATTCTATGATAGCTAATGGAAAGAAACAAATGTATATACAGGGTGATTTTATTTTACCTTTCTAAGTGCCTATTTTGGGATAAGATGAATTATCCTGCAGAAATATCTATGACTATAAAAGGCATTAGTTTTGACTGAAGCCCCTAAATGATAGACATTTAAGTTGGAATCACTAAATCTCATATAAATCACTACCCACCCTGACTCCCCCCCCAAATAAAAGTACAGTTCTAGAATTTACATTCTTCTGCTTTGTCAGACTGTTCGTTCAATATGATTACTGTGATATTGCCTTCTTGAATGTCTGCCATTCTCCAACTTCTGACTAAGAAATAGGAGTCAAATTGAAAGCAAACATAATATTATGCACAGAAAGAATTAAAAGGTGGTGTTCTACAATATTTCAAGAGAGGTACGAGGATGATATGTTTCACTTATCTGAATTAAAATTTTGGCCTCTTTGCTGTCATAAAGACTTTTGTTGGATATAAAGAAAAGGAGAAAGTGACAAAAGAGTGACCCAAAATATAGCAGCCTGTTATGTCTTAATCACCAGTGTTTACTGTTGCAGACAATTGTACATTAAAAAGCCTGAACTAATTAACAAATAACTTTATTTCTGGGTGAATATCACAGAAAAATATCAATCAATAGCCCAAACTCTGTTATTGTGTGCATTTATGATTTTTATTAGAATGTTGCTGAAAAGGGAGCAAAGTAACAAATCTCTATTTAATTGTTAAAAAATAAATAAATTCCAGTAGACATGTGACTAAGAATCCTAGCTCTTGAACTTATGTAGGTATAGAAGAATCTCATCAATCATTTAAAAATTACTGAATTCAACTTCCATAATTACAAAGAAAATGTAGAAAGTTTTCTTTCTAAAGAGATAAAAATAGCTGGGCAAACTAATATAGTATAAAAAAAAAGTTTCTTTATAAGAATCAGTTTTAAGGCTGATCTTAGAATTTTTATACCCAAAATCAAAAGACATTTTGCATGGTCTCTATGCTTGGTTAGAATGTGAAAGTTCCTATACTTATTTTGAAGCATTTATTTGGGTGGTTATTTGTTCAGGAGATGAAAAGCTGTGTCATGACAATCTGTGTCACAAGTAATTCAGCATTTAGGGATCCTGATCAGTCTCAGTAAAGCCAATCACAAAAATCCCTCTGACTTTGTGGTCCAGGATCATATCACACAGCAGCAACTGTTGAGGTGCCTGTAGTGACAGACATAGCTGTGTATTATTGTACAAAATCACAAGCAAACTTGGAAAAACTCCTGATACTCATTTAAGAATAGTAGTCAGCAGAAGGTGGTCAAAATCCCTTTGGAAGTTATAAGCTGGTAGAGGGAATTTGCTTAATTCCTAAATGCAAAAGACAGACATTACTGTGCATTAAAGTCTTAACAGAAACACTAAATTTTCTCTAAGAAATAGCTTTCCTGGGTGATATGGTAGCATTGTATTGTTGCAACGTGTCTACAAGACAGTTGGAATCATCTTTCATTCTGTCGTACCTTTTCCCCCTCTTCCCTCTCTCTCCCTATCCCCCTTCTACCCTGTTTTACTTCTCTTCCTGCTCTCTGGTTTACCCTTTTAGCAGTACAAGATCAAGACAAGCTACAAGGCATTTGCAGCAATCCCTACAAACACATTACTTATGGAACAGAAGGTTAGTGTTTGCTCAAAGACATGGGAGTTGTGTTTTATGTTTGAGAACATCCAACTTCATGTACATATTCTGACATTTCTGGGGGGGATACTGCAGAATGTTAAGCTCTGGGAACTAGCTGCTCAGGGTTATAATTCCAGCCATTTTTGAGGGTCAACCACTCTCCACTGAAGATCAAAGCCTTCATAAATCTGAATTTCTGCTAATAAATTTAGTGTAAAAAAAAGTCTCCTAAAGGAATTGCCATCTATGGCAATATCTCAAAGTCTGTTTTGTGTGGAAAGTGTCTGGAGCACTACTATCCTGGGACCTACAAATTAGTAGATCTTGATCACTTCATGGTTATTCAATGGCTATGCTGATACTACTAAATTTAACATCCACAGATACGCAAATTTGATCAGTTGTATTGTTAAACTGTGAGAAGAGTCCTGGCCATTGCACTGACCTCTGTTAACTACATTTCTCCCAAACAACTTCCCTGAGTACCTCAACAGTCAGCATGGGCTGGGGTTCTGTTCCTAGTACGTAGTTTGGAGTAAAAATCCTTTTCTGAAGGATAGTATGATAGATCCAAAGAACAGTGTTTAGTGCATTTATTTACTACCAAAGACACAGCCAACAAAGGCTGGGTGGTATACCACTTGTTCAGATAATATGTCTTTGGAAGTCAATAAAAAAAATCAAATATTGCATGAAGGCTTCAAAGTATGCAACAATGTTTATTTCTAAAGTTTTTTTCCCAAATTAGTTTTGTACAAAATAGCCCACTAAGTTTAACAAAAATTTCCTATGATGAGCAATGAGCTAAGTGTCTTATAAGTTTAAAGACATGTTTAATCACTTTGATATCCAGTATATAGCTTTATCAGAAAAATCTTTCTGTGCACCTAGTTCAGGAACTTAGCCTCTGATTAATTTCTGCAAGATTAAGCATTTCTAACTGCACATTTAAATATGTATTCATGTACAGAGCTCACTTGATTTCGCTAGGAGTTTGCAGAGGCTTTAAAACATTAAAGAGAGTGAATTTAACTGTGTAAAAATTCTGAAGATGATAATTTTGTCCTTGAAATAGTAGTGATTGTGATCTAGTAGTTATCAGTTTTCTGCTATAAATAAGATATTTTTTTCCAGAAAATAGACATTCTTTTCCAATGTTCTTTTATTCCAAAATGATTTTTCAGTCATTTGTGTAAACCCTGATCCCTCCTTACATTGAACGAAGGTTATGTCTGCATTAACATGCAGTGTGGTCCAATAGAAAAGGCTTTGTAGAGGAAAAAAAAGCTGATGCAGGGGATTCTAGACCCTTATGTATTTTGAATGTATTTTGGGAGGGTTTTTTTTTTCACAGAGTGCCTATTAGTGGCTGGAAGCATTTGGTAGACTCCTGAAGTGCTACTTCAAGACTGACTTAATCTGAGAGGCATCCAGTTTGTGCACTCTAAGACTGCACTATGCAAACCAAGCCTGGCAGGTGAATTTGAGCAGGGTATTAACTTTGAAAGCACAGTCCTGACATGAACTAGTGAGTTAAAGTCAGCTATCTGAATGTAATTTTTCAGAAGAAAGAGTCTCGCTGATGTTATCTGGGGCATTGACTCACAAGTCGTATGCTACATTTCCCCATTTCATAAGACTGAACTGTACAATCTAATGCCAGTATCTGTAGAAAAAGTATAAAAGATACCAAAACGATATCTATTTGTAGATAGACATTTTTGATTATCCACCACTTCATTGAAAATGCTAGCTTTGATGTATGCCTCAGTAGCAAAATCACAGTTATATAAAACTAATAAATCAATTTTCTGCTACAGGATTTGCCTTCAAGAGAGGTTTTTGACTAATTTACTTTATAAACAATATATTTCAGCATGGTCTGGCTACGTGTTTCTCTCATCTTGGAATTCATCCATACCAGCAGCTAATTATAGCTCTTAAGCTAGTCCTTTTATGTTAGCTGATATACACTTGGATATAGCTCTTAAAGAAGCATGAAAGTCCCACATGGCACACACAGGCCTCGTTGTACCAAATCCAAGTATTGTCCCCAAAAATGCTGGTGAAGGAGGTGGGAAGGAAATCATGCCGCATTGTAGCTCGGTGACAGTAATTATCGCGCTCACTTTGTGGACTGCATTTTATACCCTGGATTAAAAGGAGACAGATGCAAAATAATAAGATTTTAACTACAGAAGTGTTGTTCTGTTAAGATAATTGTTATGCGGAGAAGAAGTTTTCATGCGGCTTTTTTGTTTAGCAAGGAATACCTGCAAAGCACAGATATTACTCAGCTGAATGCATGATTAGAAATATATCATCTCCTTAAAGTGCTCAAAAAGCTTTTTTCTAGGCAATTGACCTGGAAATGTACATTCTCAGAAGTCAACTTTTTCCACTGTGTGAGTAATTATATTACTTAATTTGAGCCGTCATGAGAAATAAGATTAGTCAGAACTGTGATGTGAGTGATCCTAGTGACAATTCATCTGCAGGATTAATTAGATCCCTTGACAGAAAACTGTCGTTTATATGTCATGCAAGGTACAATGCTTTTTCTGCCTTGAAAATGTCTCCTTGCGTCTTTTTCAAGTAATTTTTTTCTTCTACATGTGTCTAGATGCTTTAATCTCAGCCAGCATTTTTCACCTTCTTCTTATGAAGCCATTGAGCTGTCATCATCTTATTGATTTTCCTAGAACATATTCTTACCTCCAATTCTCTTGCACAAAGTGAGTTGCTCAAATCTGTGCTTATTAGCAGAGAAGACTTATTGACTACTTACGTGTATACTATGGTAACCTTAGAAGTGGCTTAATCTCATCAAATCTCATAACTGGCATGTTTTCCAGCTCTTTGAGTTTGTATGAACATGAGTTTGTATGAACATGAGTTTGAGTTTGTACGGCAGAAAAGGACCTGGGTGTTCTAATTGACAGCCGGCTGAATATGAGCCAGCAGTGTGCCCAGGTGGCCAAGAAGGCCAACGGCATCCTGGCTTGTATTAGAAATTTTGTGACCAGCAGAAGAAGGGAGGTGATTGTCCCTCTGTACTCGGCACTGGTGAGGCTGCACCTGGAGTATTGTGTTCAGTTTTGGTCACCTCAGTATAAGAGAGATATCGAGGTGTTGGAGCGAGTGCAGAGGAGGGCAACAAAGCTGGTGAAGGGCCTGGAGAACAGACCTTATGAGGAGCCATTGAGGGAGCTGGGTCTGTTCAGTTTGACGAAGACGAGGCTGAGGGGGGATCTCATCATGTTCTACAATTAGTTGGTGCTGGTCTCTTCTCACAGGTAATTACGGACAGAACCAGGGGGAATGGTTTCAAGTTCCAACAGGGCAAGTTTAGGCTGGACATTAGGAAGAAATTCTTCATGGAAAGAGAGGTCAGACACTGGAATAGACTGCCTAGGGAGGTGGTTGAGTCATCATCCTTGGATGTATTCAAGTGTCGCTTAGATGTGGTGTTGGGTGTAACTTTCTTCACAGCTAGAATAGCAAAAACTTGTTTTTAAGGGACATATCCTCAGCATGATCAGGCTTTTCTAGGGAACAGCAAGAGCTGGCTGCTCCTCTGTGAAGGTGAACTGGAAGCCAGGGTGACAGCAAGCCTGGCAGGACAGTGTCCTCACCAGCAAGGGCATAGCTCCACAGTGCCTGTGCAAAGAGAGCAGAGATGATAATAATGAGATGGTGGTAACTGTGTTTGCTCAGAAGAGCCATTGTAGCCACACAGATTCATAGCAATGGGGCAGATCCACAGACTGTGGTAATGAACTCTTCAGCCCAGCAGAGAATGGAATCCACTGTCTAGAAGAGGAAGCTGGGCAAGTTTAATGTAGGCATAAGGCAAAAGTTCATCAGAAAAAATTATCAGAAAAAATTTTCAGAGACTGAAATGGTCTCTTTATTGCAGAAACTGAAAAATCAAGAGAGTACACTTTTCTGGAACTTCATACAGTAATTCCAGGCAGTTCTGTGGTTTAAAGAAAAGGTCAGACTTAGGTGATCACTGTGATTCCTTCTGGCCTTATTAACGTTGAGTCAGTGAGTCATGCCTCTACTGACACTCACTTTTGTATACCTTCTGTATAAAAGTGATTTCAGTCTAATTCAAAATTCCATGTTTAATCAGATGGCATTAAAAAAATTAATGCATCTATTATTTAGAGATTGCATTTGTCAAATAATCTATAAGAATATATTTCAGTCAAAACAGATAGTGCTTAAGAGTTTATTTCAGGAAGCTACAGGATTTTTTTTAACTTTTAGTATACACTCTGTTAAACCATATCCTACATAATTTTCAGATTTATGCCAGATTTCAGATGTTACCTCAAACTGTTGGATGCCTTGGAACTGCAAAGCGGAAAAGTCTTCTCTAATCTTTGGTCTGCAGCAAGGTCTATGCAAGGGAATTTGAGTTTGTTATGTTTATCCAGATAACATACCTTTTTTGCATTCTAATTGGAGTGAACTTTCTTTATTTGGGCGTCATTTTGACAGGAATAAAGCCTGGACATGCAACCTTGGTGGGGAGAGGCACTGCAGATGTTCTGGTCAGACTAGGATGATGAAGTGTGCTTCGTGCTTTGCAGTCAAGGCTTTATCCCACACTTACCAAGTCGTCTGAAAAGCACTAAATATAACTGGCTATGGAGGGAAGACTTACCTGCTTGTATTTATCAACTAATTACAAGCAGAGGATTGTAACTTCAATTTTAAATAAGTGTAGAAAAAAGTATTCTATTTTAAAGAATAAATATTTCAGGTTATTGATTTTGTATGTTTATGACTTCCTTCATGTTTTCTCTTGTCACAATGAAATTTGACTAGTTTCAAGAGTCTAAAACAATCTTTCCATACGATGTTACACTTCCAGAAAAACTCCAAAGGTCTGGTAATTGCATCCAGTCAAATACACAGCAGACTGCCATCAGTGCAGTATATTGTCCTTGTGAAGGAAAAACCCCACACCAAATAAATAAGCATTTTCCTCCTTATGGAGAAGGAAAAAGAGGGTTGTTTTTTTCTTTCTTTTTCTTCCCGTGAAAAGAAAGAAATGCAACTGAGGAAATCTGGCAGTGTTCTGCTACATTGGAGCCCCAACTTCAAGTTCTTGGCTTGAGAGAACTCTTGTCTATTGTATTGACAAATGTTGTTTGATATAGGAACTGGTCATGGGAAATGCACATTCAAACTAGTCCTTAAAATCATGCAGGAACTTGAAAGCCCTCTTTCCCACTCTCAGATGGTAGACCTAACTGCTGGACAGTTGGCTATTATCAAGTGTCCCACGACCTTTCTGGACCTATAAAGCATTTCTGACAACACAGAATAATTTAATTAAAAAAATTTAGTTTTCCCTTAAAAATTAGGGTGTGCACTTACTAGGTCAATTTTTTGCATCCACATTTCATGTTCATGTCCAAATGCTTCTCAAGGCTAGAGATAAGTACCCAGTGGTAAGAAAGAAGAGAAATAATTTATGCAATCATAGAGTGATGAAGGAACTGGTTCAGCTATAATAATAACCATGCATGCTAATGCAGGAGCAGACTATAATCTCCTTTCAAAGGCTTTGGAGATTTTAGTACTAACTATTTTGTAAGTGGAAAAGTAGTCAGGTCTTTTCAGTATCATCTCCCAAGATCTTCAAGCAATAAGTTAAAGGAACTCATCTTATGTGAAGCTCTGTCACACAAAGATTTTTTTTCTTTGCATGTGTTGATGTCTCAGGAGAAGACATTAGTTGGAAAAATATACAAAAGAAGAGGAAACTTCTTTTATTTTTGTCATTCCACAATTTTTACAATACAGTAAGAAGGAAGCTTTGTCAGATCCAGGTTATAATATTAGTTTTCCTCCTACTGTTGGTGTGGTTCATTGGTGGAAGTAACAATGTTCTGCCTTCCTTATATGTATTAGCTTTCATTTTTCTAACAAAAGATTTAGAAACTTGTTCAGATCCTTTATCAGCACCTTTTCAGCTCTGATATAGCTCTATCAATCAAATAGCTTGGGTGAAAGAGGAGGGAATCGTTGTAGTCATCACTCACATCAATGAATGCATATGCATCACACCCCCAAAGCTGCCATTTGCAAGGAAAAAATTAGTGGGGCAGCAACTGGTTATTTCATCTGAATATTTAAATTCTGTATGTTTTCATTCTCTAAATTGCACTCTTGTTTTAGATTTTGGTCTATATATATAATAAAAAAACAATGGAATGTCTAAATAGGAATGATCGACTTCCAACATTATTAGGCCATCAGCATAGGAGGTGAAGCTTGAATACTGTTGACACTGTTGGTAGTGCTAGTGAACAGTATTGTAAATAGCACTAATGTTTTAAATTAAGTTCAGAAATGCGAGTTGTACTTTTTTAATCTCTTATTTTTCTCTTTAAGGAAATGAAAAAAAAGAAAAGTACTGCTGGAAAAAAAATTGAGTTGTATTTTGAAAAACTAACAATGGCTTAGAAGGGACCTTTTTTTTTGGTAGAGATGTCATTACTATACTGATTTCTTGAGAGTTTTGAGAAGCTTAGTAATTTCTCCATTCCAAACTGATTAAAATTTGTTGTATTTCTTAACCTGAATTTAGACTCGGTCATCTTTCTACAACAGTCTGCTTTGGCAATCTTAGCCCCAATGGGTACTGGAATGACTCTTCTACTTCATTTTGTCATTTAATTTTATGTCTACTGGAAGGATATTATCTCAACTGAAGCTGAACTGGAGACACAGTACTCGAGTGTAGTGCTGAGCCCCCCCTTCTACAGGACTATCTGTTCATCTGAAAATTTACCTGGGTAATAGTGACGATCCATAACTTCTCTTGCCCAGAGAAGCTGTGGATGTGCCCACCCTGGACATGTTCAAGGCGAGGCTGGATGGGGCTTTGAGCACCCTAGTCTAGAGGCAGGTACCCCAGCCCATGGCAAGGGGGTTGGAACTAGATGATCCTCCTGAAGGACCCTTCCAACCCAAACCATTCTGTGATTCTAGGACATAGCAAAAACTATTTATCTTGCCATCTTCTGTCTTAGAATAAGATTACACTAATTTCTGTATGTTAAAATAATAATTATTTTACTTTTTCCTTTTGAACTAAAACTACTCTTAAGTCAATGTTTGTCTAGATCTAGAGGAGAGGGAAGAAATGTGTTTGGAAAGAAATTACTCTTGAGTTTTTCTTACTGTACTCTTTCACAGAAGACATAGTGTTCTATAAACATGTTTTTGTGCAGGATCATTGTGGATGGTATTAAAATAATATTAAAAGTAAATTGTCATGAACTTTTCAATTCTGCATGCATGCACACATATATGCTTCCAGTAGCCAGGCAAGGAGACAAAAAAAATATTGTACTGAGCAAAATTAAACTCAGAAATAATTACTTAAATATATGTTTATTTTCTCTTTTTTTAATGATTCTGCCATTTTTCTCCGAGCTCCACATATGTCTTCTGTGACTGACAGCCCTGATATCCAATTCACTGTTATGAGTTCATTCCCTCAGAATCCCACATGCAAGAATAAGTGTTTTACAGGAATGCTATCTTTTTCTTTTATTATAATTTACTTTTTTTGGCAGGTAACTAGCAAAATGAAACTTGAGAAAAATGTTAAACAAAAAATCCACAGACCCTGCAGGCCTCTCCCTTGTGGCCCAGCTTCACGCATCAGCAGGCTTCCAGAGTAATTTTTGGTTTCGGTGTGGAGTCTGTTTGAAATTCACTTCAAAACAAAATTCAGTGATAGTGGTGAGAGAGTGCCTTGCAGACTCTGGATGAAGATGAAAGGGAAACTGAGTGCTGGAGCTTGGCTTTTAAGGGTGTTTAGTTAGTTACCTGATAAAGCAGAGGGGCCAGCAAACCCATTTTCATTGTTCTAGAACCTGTTCCAAGTACAGGTGTAGGAAAGTAGGAAGTATATCCAAGCTCAAGAAACTTGTGTTTTGTTTTGGAGACATTGCATACCTGCTTAGACCACCTGTGCTTATTTATAGCACGTATTTGAATGTATGCAATTCTGATTTCAGGTTAAAATCCAAAAAAAGTTGAGCACTGGTTTTGTTGCAGTGTGGACTCATCATCTTCTTTAAAAAAGAGGGATTTTAAATCTTTTTTTTAAAAAAAAGTCTCCTGGAGCAAAAGAAAGGGCCTCTTGTGTGCTTGGACACCTGCTTTGTCTACCTGCTTACAGCCCGTGGCTTTCCAGAGGTGGTGTGTGGCAGGTAGCCTCCAACATCCCTAGGGCATATGATTCACATTCACTGTGAAGGAACAGGGAACTGCAAAAAAAGGCAATTTAAATTGGTTGTTTCTGATCTCTAAAAGTGGAGACAATCCACCTAAAATTAGAGATAACTCACCTAGCCGTCTCCCTCTCTGCATTCCTCCCCGATTTAGAATCAGACGTTGATAACCCAAAAAACCATACTAGGCTTGTAATTCTTCTTTTTCCATCTTGCCACATTTGGAAACACAGTATTACAAAAACTGTATGCTTGCTTAGTTTAAAAATTTTGAACTCACCAAAACCTTTTGAATTGCAGGCACTAGAGGAGCCAAGCCAGACTGCTGGTGTGACTGAAGCCACTGCTTTGGACACCCATTCAGAGGTAGTGCTAGTATATCCCTTTCAAACCTCTGTTCAAAAACAAAAAGTAAAGGTTAACCGAGTGACATGTTCTTCTTTTTCAGATGTGCTCCCCTGCCCAGCTCAGACAACAAACAGAAGAGCTTTGTGCTGTCATTGATCAAGTCCTGCAGGACCCTTTGACTATGGTAACCCATCAGTATGTGGGACTGATCTTCTATCTTCCTTTCCTTTTGTCTCTTGTCATTAATAAGTCTGTTTTCTGTTGAAAATCGTTTTCCAGCGCCGATGCGAATCTTCTCCAAGTTTCCTGCAGATGAGCACAGAGTCAGATATTGGCAAGGTAGGTGAATAAACCCAAATGTTCTTAGCAGGTAGACATAAAGCTAACAAAATCACAACAGTAAAGCCTACGGCAGCAGAAGGTTTCAGTTAAGAGATACGATATCAGTAGAATTGTCTGGTGATTTGAAAGACATAGAAGGACAGAACTATAATCCTAGAGACATTGCAGTCTTTGTTGCAGGATCTCTTCCTGAAGTCATAGTAAGTTATATTATGACAGAAAATCTGTTCCTTAAGGTTTTTGAGGGAGGGATCGAGAAGAAATATATCCTTCATGTCTTGCCTTCTGTATTGCCATGTGTCTGGCCATCTTCCAGATTTCATCCCATTTATGGGTCTTTACTACAGGGAAGCCAATGTTTCTAGCTTGAGTGATCGGAAATATCTTTCCAAGCAATTTTTTGTCATATTTGTTGTTGGGTTTCAAATAATTGAATAATTAAGTGAATAAGTAGACTTGCTCTTACGTGCTGATTTCCCTTCAACTCTGGTCCCTCCCGGGGGGCAGATGTCTGCTATATCCATTTATTCTGGATAACTCAGAAACAGGTAGTGAGAGGCAGGAATAACTTTCTAACTGGCATTAAACTTCTGGTTTCACTGTGTTATATTGGTGTGCCTTCTGGATTCAGAAGGATGAATAAACAAAGGAGAATAGTCCTGTATTCAGTTTACTGAAGGCAAATTTAGGTTGACATTACTAGCTATATGAAAGTGTAAATGGCATTAGGGAATACTGTGGCTGGTCCATTTGGGTCACCTGACCCTTCCTCTCCTCCCCATAGGCACCCCCTTCCCCCATTGTGATTGCTACATGGCCCTGGCAGCCTCAGAAAACTTTTATCTCAAGCCAGAATACTGAAAAAGCAGGTAGTAACTGGTGTTGAGGAAATGTTTCCCAACACCTGCACTGAAGTGGTTGAAATTCTACTACTAAGTTAGATTTTTGATCTATAGCATCCGAAACCTACTTTCTTGGGCAGTTAATAACTGAGACTTGATCAAATGGAAGGCATCCATTAGAAGTAATGTAATCAAATAAAGGGGATGAGAAATGACTTATAACAGGATGCAGCGTAGGGACCAAGCTAAAGTTTGTGAGGACCTCAGGATCAGAGAGCACAGTACTTAAACTGAGGGTAAAAGAGAGTCATAGACAGGAAGGAAGAGGAGTACATGTTATAAGTGACTTAGAAACAATTATTCAGAAGAAAGCAAGTTCTTGCAGATGAGAAAATGGAAATATGATGTTTCAGGTTATTTTGTGAGAAAATGTAACTTGAATTGCATGGGGCAACCACACCTGTGATTGTCTACTACTAAGCATTTAGTTATGGGAGCTCTCAGAGGTAAATGCCAGCTTGAACAGAATGGAATCTAAGATTTTGAGCAGTAAAAATGAAATATTTTCTACTATAAACAACAAAAGCAAAACTTTAATATAACTTATTTTCATATATCTCATGAATCTTTATTAAAAACTGAAGTTTTCTTGAATTTGAGCAATTAATAACTTGTGACAATGGTGAAAATCTCTCTGAGTTACTCAGAAGAACTCATTGCTCTTAATACAACTATTTTGTATAAGGTGTCAACAACACTGCAGAGAGCAGCTGGGCGCGAAACAAGATATGTAAGTACTTTCATAATTACTCTACATTTTAGAAATGTCTCATTTGTCTCAGTTTGCTACCCTAATAGGTGAGTCTGCATGTAGCAGACAGTCTTCTACTCGCGACATGAGGTGTTGTCTCTAATACAGAGGAGAGAGTACGGTAGAGCACTAGTAACTGAGACGTGAAATATCTTCCCTCTGCTATAAAACCCTCATGACTGGAACATCCTTGGTGCAGAGTCTACTGATCATTTTACATGTGAGAATATGATACTGAAACTAATTTATTCACACACTTTGTTATTTGCTTTGGGCATCGGGGAAGAAGGCAGCTATTTGGCAAACAGACTTATGGATTCTGAAGGGTTTGTTTGTTTGGACAGCCTGCATTGTAGGGGATTTGCTTTGGTAGAAGTCTTTTGATTCTTGCCTATCCATCTGAACTTGAGGTTGACCCGAACTTTTCCTTCCAAGGAATAAAGTTGGCTGAAAATGCACAATTCAGCCTTAGATGAGTTGAAGCTATTTTGTCACATATGCGCATATTCCAGTATACAAAGAAAATCTCTGTATTGAGTCATCAGCTCAATTATTGAGACATTAAATCCAATTAACGTTTTAGTTCTCACTAACACACACATTACTGCAGGTTCTGTATTTTACTTACAACTCATTTAGTCATGTGGTGAGAAATCTCTTCTTACTATTCATCATTCATCATTTCTATTGAATCTCAAATCAAAGAAGTGCTGGCAAAGCAATAGAGATCTCCCAGTTTTATGCCAGCACAATGCTTGACTGATCAATTCCATTTTCCTTCTTGACTGTGGCTGTATTCATATTTTATTGCATACTGTAATTTTTACTTTGCAGATTGTGCTGACTCATACTAATTAAAAAGGATATTGGAAGAGAGCTTTTTAATGAAATGAGAGTGTGTTTCAGAAGTAGCCTGTGAGAACAAAGTGTATTTAATATCACTCCAGTGCAGATCTTCAGCTCCCAAAACTGTGTCTGACGTATACTGGAAATTCAGACACTCAACCCATATGCCTAGGGACACAGTTAGGTTCTATTTGCTGGCATAGAAAATTACGCTTACAAACCCTTCCCAGTCTCTCCCGGAACTTTCTAGATAAATGAAACAAATGAATACACAAAAATACTCTCAGGAATAATGCAGAGGACTATTGGCAGGCTAACCTGTCCTATAAATTGTACAAGCACGTTGAATTTTTTGTGTGTCAGAAAACAGACTGTGGTCTCCAGGCTATGCTATGGTAGCTGAGCTTGATGGAACCACATTGTTCTGGGCTCTGCCATCACTGCACTCTGCAGCAGAGTCTCCTGAGGGACGAGCCAGATGTCCCTAACAGTCCCAATATGTCACAGGTCTTTCCCCCTCTCTTGCTCAGCTTCCTTGGGAGGATGTACAAAGGCTATTTCTGTCCCAGCTAATAAACCAGGTATTGGCCTGTCCTCTAGCCCTTAATGAGGGAGCACATGGAGGTGGTTTCCACAGAGTTGTCTTCTCTTCTGCTTCCACTTCCCTCAAAGTGAGCTCCCCACTCCAGCACAAGACTCAGGGTGGCCCATTTCTTCAGCTCACCGAAAGCAGCATGCTTCATGCTACCACACAGAGCATGATGGAGAACTACCTGGAAGAGTGGTAGGAGATGTGGATCAAAGCATGCAAGGGAGTGTGTTAACTATTATCTGGAAAGGACCTGTTCCTGACCTTCTGTGTGTGCTGAATTCAGTTCAGTAGAGGAGTAATAGTCCAGGGGTCAACGTACCCTTATAGCAAGTACAAGATATCTCTTTTGAAAACAGTGCCTGCTTTAAGCCAATCTAACAGTGGCTCCAGTGGAAATCAGGAACTGGGTTTTGTACAGACAGTTGTTATAGCATCAAACTGTGAATTCCCTCACAAGGTCTGTGGCATCTCACGTGAGCTGTCTTGGAATAATGATCTTCAGCCATCCTTTTTTTGAAAATCTTTTTTCTTTTAGAAAAAAAGGCTTTTAGTTTTTGTAAGTGGACTAATTTTACTAGAAAGAATTAAAATTGTAATTTAGCGATAAAATTTTCTTTATCTTCTTGTATTCATGATGTCTGATATTCATGATGTTTGTCAAAACATTGCTTTGAACGTGGTTTTGGTTAAGAGAAAAGCTTTAATTGGTTTATGAGTCAGAGACAGGAAAATATTTCATCGTGCTAAATTATTATCTATAAACACACACATGTAAATGTATATCTTTGCACACGTGATAATATTACTAATTACTTCAATAGATTATATGGAATAGCAGACTGTGCAAATCTGTTGAAATAGCCTGCCGCTTACCAATTAAAATCATGTAGATTTGCCTTGGCCTCGATTACTTTTTGTCTTCTCACGAACTTCAGAAGCTTTTAAGGGTGTAAATGCTTACTCACATAGCAAGAGAGTATATAAAAGTTCAGAAAAATATCTGACCAATGAAATTACAATTTGTACCAACTGAAAATTAAGTACTATAATTGTCATTTAACAACTTAATGCATATACTTAGTCATTGTGTTTCTGTATAATTACTGTCAACAAAGAAAACTTTCTTAACTTTATTTTCAAGCAGACTTATAGTTCTGTCACTTAGCTGACTTAGAACTACTTAAAAGATAATTTATCATGATTAATTGCAATATTTATTGACAGTAATTATTGACACTTTCGCTCTTGACAATTCTATTAAAAATCTTTTAAAAAGTGTTATAGACATGACATGCAAGTGAAAGAATGGAATAATATGAAGCAGTTAAAAAGCACACAGATAGGTAGACATAAGTCGCCCTTTTCTTTATCTGTGGTCTGCTGTGGTTATATACATTTCAGGTCACCCCTGTGAAATGAGATTTACTTTCGCACCACTGAAGTGAGTGAAATTAATTCCAGCCCGTTTGTATCTTTAGATCATTCTGAACTGCTTTGATGTCTTTAAGCTCAGAGTGAGATTGGTCATTACACTTCGTTAATGGTAGGAAAGAGAGTATCCCTGGTATATAAGTAGCACCACTAGTAAAAACTAATTTACACTGTGAAGGGCAGAAAATGTACTTCCTGTAGATTCAGTGCTAAATCACAGCTTTCTCTGTGTGGGTGGGAAGATTTCCTCCTCCACTGGCTCTGTTTAGGGATGTGAGTGCTCTCAGCACAGTTCTCCACCATGACTCATGGGGATGCTGTTCTCACCACCGATGCAAGAAAGGTGAGAGCCAGCAGGTCCAGGGAGTGATTAAACATCTCTGTTTAGCACTTGGGAGACCACATGCAGAGTTCTGTGGCCAAATCTCTGCAAGGTCTTTGTCACAGGGGATCATGGGAAGATTCCAAACATGTTGGAATTGTTTTTCTGCTTGAAACAGTGGGAGGAGCTTATAGTTGAGTTGATAAAGGTCCAGTCATAGTGGTCCTTCTCCAGAGGGTGAAAGCTATAATGACACTGACATCTTCTACTACAGCTATAACATCTAACCATTGTATCTAGTACTTTTCTTACCATCGTACTGCAGAATAGTCACATTTTAGAGTTTCAAGGCCTCCAAATCACACCCACATCAAGGAAACGCATGTTATCTGTAGAGAAACACTGGATTATCTGAATCTCACCACTGTGTGGGCAAATAAACACGTGGCACATGGCTGTTCCACATACATACACAAATACTTCCCATTCGTCATATTTATCATTGACTTGAAAATGAGGCTTCTGCTGTTCAATATATATGAAGGAAAAAAAAAAAAGAAAAACAGGTAATGCTTGAGTGGGATTGTTCTGGTTTTCTTCATGTAAAGTCAGAAGGATGAGAAATTTGGACTGAGTTCCCAGTACAATTCATAGTGTTAATAACATTGATGCTGCAAACTAACAGACAATGGCAGGCTCAGAAATGTCAGGGTTTATGTTTCAATATTAGGTTGATATGAAAAAGTGAAGTCTTGTTGCAATTGGAAAAAAATATTCCTAAAATTTTAAGAGAAGGCATTCATACGCCTGGGGATTGGACCAGATGACCTTTAAAGGTCCCTTCTAACCCAAAACATTCTATGATTCTGTATTTGATTATACTTAGAAATAAACGGGAAATGACAATATTTTAACTTCTCTTACCGAGTGCATGTCACTGCATCAGTGGTAAAAGTTTCTGTACCTAAACATACTGCTGTCCATAGATTTTTCTTCTGTCATCGCTATAATTACTGTGATGTTTTATATAATACTGTGTGTATTTACCATTCTTGCAGGCCAACCTCTACAAATCGGCGCCTATGGTAACGGAGAGTCAGCTGGTATGTTTTGCACAGCTGTGTGTCAAATTTGCACGAGAACAAAGCCTAAATAATTATACGTTCTTAGTCCCTTGAAAGAAGCTGGAGTGAATATCCTCCTACAAAGCTATTTTACTTTCTTTTGTATTCAATACACACCTATTTTAAGTAACTGTAAATCCTGACACTTCTTGTAAACCCATAGACCAAATGACAAACTAGAGAGTCCTGATGAATCTTGAGGTATGCGACGACTATAGCGTCTGCTCCTGGTTCTTGGACTCTTTTAATATTGCACTTCTATAATTTTTTTTTATATGCAACAACACACTGACATCCATTTTGTTCTTACATCCTGGTTTAAATCAAAGCTGCCCTAACTAGCAAAAAGCAAGAGTAGAATCAAATAAAGAGAGATTATGCATTAAATGTTCATTTTGCCTCTGATTACAATTTAGGCCTGCTGTAGCCAAACTTTCCAAGGAAGTCATAAAAGAGTTCATGGAGCCTGTCCAAGTGACAGTGACCGCTAATGAATGCTTAGGAAAAAAATGAGATGTGGATGAGAAATTTTCTCAATCGTATTTCAGCTAATGGAATTTGTGGGTTTTCCTGAATCAATTTCTTCTGTTTGGTAATGTTTGGCCACTTCTTTCACGATTTTTTTTACAGTTACTTTTTGAATCTCATTATAGTTTGGTCTCTATAACATTCTGCAGCAACAGAGTTTAGTTTTTAATTATATATTGCATGAAATAGAACTTTATTTATTTGCTTTAAACTTACTATTTGATCTCAGTTCTTATATTGAAACAGCAAATGATTGGTTTTTTTTCACCTTCTAAAAAATAGTAATAATTTTCTAGGTATTAAATGTAATACCCTATCAGTCATCTCGTTTTCATGCAGGAAAGTCAAAATTGCTTAGTCACTCTCTAAGAAGTATAGATACTGTCCCATATGTTTGATGATTCTTGTTGCCCTTTTCTATACCTTTTGCAGATTGTTGTTTCTGCGATTAGCTGACTAAAACCGTAAACTACCCTTGTCTAGCTCTGAACCCGGTGCTTCCTTTTTATGTGATGATATGACAATGTTCTTTACTGTTATTTCTATTACTTTCTTTAAAATTATTGGTAATTTATTCAATTCATTTTATTTATACTGAGAGTTAGCTAATAGAATGCATAGAACTGCATTCAATAAACCTGAGATTTATTTTCTGTGCAGTAAGTAAAGGCTAGTTCCTGAGTTAACTACTTCATCAGTTCATGTGTAAATTTAGGATGTAGTTTAGTTTTCCCCCACGGAGTGTATCAGTGTTGAATTCAGTTAAGTTTCACCTGCCTTTTTGTCATTCATTCACTCAGTATCATAAGATCTTTCTGCAATTCTTTGCACTAGTATTTTGGTTTTACTCTGCTGAATGATTCAGTATTACCAGCAAACTTTGTCACCTTATTAGTCTCTGTTTTCTGGCCTATCTACATCTATTAATCAAAGCCCAGATTCCAGATTGTCTCTAAGGAATTCTATTAGTGACTTCCCTCTGCTGTGAAATTTGCACATTTATTCCAACCTTTTCTTTCCTATCTTTTAACTGCTCCATAGGAAATATTCTCTTTAAATCAGCAGCAGTTTCATTTCCTTAGTAGACCAGCCTGAAAGACTTTCACGAAAGCTTTTGGAAATCCAATGCATCATAGCTGCGGATCCTCTGAACCAGTCTCATTTTGTTATCTCTGGTCATGCATTGAGGGAGCAAGTGGGAAAAAAAAATCCCCAAAACTGAGCCTTACATAGGACACTCTGTTGTCACTTGATTTCATCTAATGTGTATTCCTAGATGCCAAAAAATTTTCATATTGCTAGTTTAAACATAAACTACACCTGCCATATCAGCCATCTTTCTTGCATCACTAACTTTAAAAACAACTATAAAAGATTTATCAGGCATGAGCACCCTTTCAAAAGCCATTGCCTATTATCTGTCCAAATGTATACCAATTGTGCTGTTTAGAATAATTTATTTCTTCTAGTTTGCACAGCTTGAATTGCCACACACAGTGATTTGCGATTCCTGGTCCTCTCCATGATCCTGTAGTAAAATCTGCCCCATGGTTGCCACTTCTCGTTCTTCTGGTGCTCCTTTTCATACAGCCAAATGCCTTCTGTCCCTGAAAAAGGGTGGCCATGTCCATACGGCCTACTAAGAGATACCCTGGCCCAGCTTGTCCTCCTGTTTCTGACCACGTACTCACCAACTGGGGCCAAAACTATGCCAGGGAATACCTTGGCACTGAATCAGAGCAACTGACTATAGGTCAGCCCTGGAGCTTATATCTTGGCCCTGTGAAGTTTGCTAATAGGATTGTAGCCATATAATTGCAGTACTTTGCTGCCATAACAGCCTTTACCATTTTCCAGTGCTATTGTAGGAAGGCTAACACTTTCCTTGGCAAAGTGAAGTCATAGCTTGTTTCTCAGCAGTGTCCAGAAAAGAGTTGAAGGTTTTAGTTTTGGATCAAAGGTTTTATATAACTTTTTTAGGAGTTAATAGAATATTTCAAATTGTGGTTGCTAGCTGATATCTGCCACTCTGGTAGCAGAGTTGGACATAAACACACGGCTCAGTCAGCACTTGAGTGTGCGATGTTGTTTAGAAAATGCTTCTTTAAAAGCATCTCTACAGCGTGGGTTTTGGTAAAGGTTTTCTGCTTAAAGAAAGTAGCTTATCCTTGATGATTTCAAGTACCTCAATGGGCTTTTAATTGCATGGTTACATGGTGTGGAGGAGTGCTAGAAGGCCACAGGTCCTTTGTCTGCATAGTGATGACTTGGTAACAACTATAACATTCTTTTTATTTTTTTTTAATTAACTTTTCTGTTTAAAGCCAGGAGCCTTTCACTTTTACAGACTCTTCTCAGAAATCTTGAAGAGGAAAACAAATATTTTATGATGAATCCTAAAAAGAAATAGTAATGAACTGCGGCCTATAAATTCATTAAATAAGCACCACATCTTTCACTAAGTTGACCATCTTAATGAAAAGGTTTTTAATACAACTTGGCCGTTACTAATTTTTTACAAAATCTAATATCGGCCCATGGCTGATTTTTTTGCTTTCACTTGAATGTTTCTTCCTATTTGATGAGGCAGATGAAAGGGTCTCAACTTCTGAAAAAGAGGGAGAGGATAAACCACCAAGCTAAGGGAAGATATTTTGCTTCCTGGGCCTTCCTCTACCTCCTCAGCTCTGCCACCTTCACCTCAGCCCCTGGACATTGCTTTGTCCTTTCCCTGGCCAGAAGCACAAGACATGGGGACATCTCCTGCCTCCTGCACTCTCGTCTCCGATGGGAATCCCTCTTACTCTGTCTTTGCTGGAGGCCTGCATATCTTATTTTAAGGCAAATCATAACTCAGTTTACATGATACATCCAGCAATCTCAGCTGCATCATTTTAAACTTCTCTTTTTCTTCCAGGCAGACAGTTTGGGTGCATTGCTCTTGAAAATAGGCAGCATTGTGTCATTAAATGTACACAGTCTAAATCTTATAAATCAGTTTAATAGTGAATCAAGTTTCTTCTCTGCTTTTTTCTACTCTACTGATTACTAAGGATGAGGAGTTGCAACAGCACCTATTTCTCAGTTCCAGCTAGGCAAGCTGCCCCTCTGGACTGAAACTAAGGAGCTCAGCAGCAATCATCTTGTTTTCTATATCAGTTGTGACAAAGAGGACCCATTTTCTGTGTGGTAGACATAACAGAGAAGACTTACTTACAAGTTTAAACTCAATCACAGACCTCTCGAGAACTTCAGTACTTAACAATTTCTTTGCTTACTGAACAAGTTGTTTGTTTTGAAACTACCCTCAGCTTCTGTTTAGAGCTTATGCATAATCCATCATGTCAGATTTTACAGTAAAAATTCTGAAAATTACAGATGTACTAAATTGACAAGTTAATACTCAATTTTTTGGTTGGCTGGTAGCTAAATCATTCTTTTTTGTGTGATTGACTAATCTAATTTGTCTGAGATGAAATGAGTGTCACACATCCATGCTGATTAAATTATCTAAAATTGTACTTTTGTAAGTGAACCCTTAAAGATACTTTCAAAATCGAGCATGCAATCACTGGCATTATTGCCCAGAAAGACTTTCTCCTAATATGTTACTGATTAGGTGTAAGTTAACAACATCACATCTTGCCCTTCCTTGTTTCATAGTTATTGTTTTGAGGAGCCCAGAAAGGAATTTGCAGTGTGAAAGGAGTCGTGTGGTTGTGCATAAAGTATGACGTGATAAACTTATCAAGATGCAGCTGAACAGCTAGCAAAACCAGCCAGCAAAGCCCACAAACCAGTGCCTGACAGCACAGTCTCTATTTTTATGTTGGTAATAAGCAGATGCCAGTGATGAGGTTCTGTGTATGAAAACATTTTTGTCCACAATCTGTATTAAAAGTAGACCAGACAGCATGACAGTTGAATAATTTTGGTGATGAAACATGGTATTAATAAAATTTTTAAAAGATCTAGTCAATACAGTCCCCCTGGAACTGGCTTGTCCAATGGTTATTATGTAAATTCTACAGTATTTTATTTTTCTTCCATCTCTTTTCTCCTGGATGTTCTATGGATCAAGACAAAACCTGGTGTCATTCGTCCCGTGCTGGTGAAAGGAAAGAGCTCACAGCAAAAGGAGGATGCTTATCAACCCAACCCTTTCAAAAAGTACCTTGAAGAAATCAGTGATCAAGATGCTGAGCAGGTGAGTAACTGTAGGGTTAATGGTTGGACTTGATGATCCCAAGGGTCTTTTCCAACTTGAATTGCTCTATGATTCTATGAACTCTCACTGTGAAGGGTTTTGTAGCCTCAGATAGTTTCCTTAAAAGCGATGGAATAATGTTAGATCCTTCTTTTGTCCTAGTCACTTCTTTTTTTTTCCCACAAAGTTAGATGGTTCCACGAGGGGCACGTGGCTCCTGGGTGAGAGTCGCCAGGCCAGAGGCAGGCAGCTGGGCTTTCTATAGGGACCCTGTATGTTGAGGAGAGGAACTTTTATGATACCTGCAGGAAACACTGTATAACAGAGAGTGGAAATCAAGTGCTCCCCTGTCAAAAGGGTGTCTGGATCTGATCTACTAGAAAGCACTTCCTCCTTTTGGAGTCCAGACCTGCGTTGTCTCTAAAAAGAAATGAGAACAGCAAGGACTGAGCAAGGTTCATTCTTGCCTCTCCACGGTGATTGCAGAGGAGCTCAGTGAGTTTCCATGTCACTCCCCAGTGTGTAGCTCTCACAGCTCCGTATTCATGTCACTCCACAGCTTGAGGGGACAGCTTTTCTACCACACGAGGGGCACTAACGGGTAGCCCATGGGGCAGCAAAAGCACTGTGTTCTCCCACAGACCTTTGCATAAAGTCATGGGATCGCTTTTCAAATGCGTCTTGAACTTTGCTGACCTGTATGAGGCAATATCTCAGAGAAAACCCAGATAGACGGTTCTGTCAGCCTTCTCTTGTGCATTTGTTTTGGTGTGCATGTTTGTGAATTAAACCTTAGATGTGTTACATAATCTGAATGTCCCTGTAGGAGCTTATTGTTAACCTATCCAGTATGTTCAGAATCTCCCATCTGGCGGGTAGTAAAAAAAAGCCAATAGTCCTCTGTCAGACATGATGTGAATAAAATACCTTATTAATTGAATTTCTCTTACTTCTATTCCTCTTTAGTCACATTAGAGACTTTAGCAATGTCACTCCTGACTTCTTCCTTTTATAACTAAATTTTTAAAAGATTTTTACTTTAGTTCTTTCCATTCTTCCTTGTAGCTCTGACTTGCTGTAGGACAATCCTGGCATTTCTCAAGAGTACTGCAGCAATACAAACAGAAACATTTACTTTTAGTATTAGTAGGTTCCAGCAACACGTATGGGCGGCATCAGAAGGCTTCCCATTCTATAGGTTTCTAGAACATAGAGTTTCTGTGGCTGGATTAAAATGATCTCTAAGGTCCCTTCCAGCTTAGGTCATTCTATGATTCTATGATATGATATAAGAAAAAATAGAAATCATGATTTACAAATTGTCTCTGAACTTCTGAGGTTTACAGTGAGTATTTGACTTCAGACACTGCAGGTGAGTTCATAGTGAGGTTTTCATGCTTTAACTACTGAAAATCTTTTGATGCCAAGACACTGTGCTGTCGTTTGCCTGGGATGAAAGAGGAGGAGAGACATCCTGGAATTGCTGCTAGACAAATTCTGGTGCAGGTCACCTCAGGGAGGCCTCTCTGCAAAGGCAGGGACTGCTCAGACCTCCCTTTTGTCAGGGCTGGGCACTCACTCTGCTGGCAATACTTTGCTGAAGAAGGAATGGCGAGAATAAACTTCTTATGTTCAGGCAAATACAAACCTGGTGTTACCGACGTAGTCTGAAGTTTCCTGATATTTGAAGCTAATTGTGAAAAACAATCAACTAATATCTGATACACTACTTATAGTACATATTGCAGAAGTACTGAGGATGCCGGTTAGCTCAGTGGTTTGAGCGTGGTGCTGACAACAATGACAACACCGAGGTTGAGGGTTCGATTCCCGCTCCGGTCCCCATGTGTTGCCTGGTCTAGGCGAGAGGTGGCGTTCCTGCCCACGACAGGGAGGTTGGACTAGATGATCTTTAAGGTCCCTTCCAGCCTATGCCATTCTATGATTCTATGATGATGTAATAAGTCTATGAATAAATATGATTGTTATAACAAAAGCCAACATTATTTCCTGTCAAATCTATGTATTAAAACGAACTAAACAAATGGTGCACTGACTTTGATAGCTGGAAAAGTTAATTTCACAATGAACATGTTCAGTTTTGCTTCCTTTAAAAGAATGATGTCATATGCCTTGAAGTACTGATAAATAAGTATTTCTATTCTGACCTAAGAAATACCACAAGTTACTGTAAGATGCTTACTATTTTGGGAGCTCTCTATTCAGACATCTTGGTTCTGAAAGGGAAGTAGTTAGGCCTGTAGCCACATGGATTCACCAACTTAATAGAAACTAGTTTTGGTTGTGTGAGAGATATAGCTATGTGTTTTTAGTGGTATTATTGTGATTTAGTGGTTTTATAGCATGATAATAGCCAGATCTAGGGAAAATACTGAAGTACTGAACAGGACAGCATAAGCTTATGATTTCAGCTCTTGCCTCTCAAAGCAGGTTTATGGTGCTGATACAAACCTCCTGTGAGTGGAGAGGACTTGAGTGCCCACATGAGGATGTTCACAGTTTGACAGCATCTGAGGAACTCTCCTGCAGGGTTTTAGTGCCTGTAAGAGGGCCGCAGCACTGCCTATGGAACTGGGCTCAGTGCCCAGACAAGAGCCTGAAAACTGCTGTGGTTGTCTCTAACCATGGGGCTGTCAGCCTACATGGACTCTCATCCTTCCCTCTTCACCTACTCTCAGTAGTTAGCTTTTTTGGCTACACGGCAGCTGGCTTCCAAAGAGTGGGAGGTGTTCACGCCAATATCATCCCCAAATTAGGTAAATTCACTGCTTTTATGGAATATGAGAGTTGTGGATTAAAACTAGGAGACCAGCAGCTAAGCTTTCTGCTTTCTCTGGAAGAGTCAGTGCTAGTCCACTTGTGCTCAAATAAGAGCTCAAAAGGCATCTACTATGGCTGAGGGCAAAATTGCTCATACCGTTACTGATCTTCCCTGGGTTTCTTTGGAGATTTTCCCATT